GTTATTGCAAGTAAGGGTTACGCCACCAAATATTAAATGTTATTCACTTTAATTTATGTTAATAATATCTGTTCCAATACTTTTGCTCACTTGAAATGTGGGTGGGTTCAAAGAAAAGGGGCTCAGTCCTGAGTTGTTTAACACACCTGGATGCCAATACCATGAAATAAAAGCTGGAATTCTGAACTTTTGTCTCATATTCATCTTTTGATCTGAAACCCAAACGTCTTCAGTATACAACAAAAACAAAGGAATTGCCCTTGCCGTTCCAATACTTTTGGAGGGGACAAGGTGGTCATTTTTTAAAAAAAGCTTTTTTTTTTTTTTTTTTTTTTTTTTTTTTTTTTTACAAAACATGGCTAATCTGTTTCCTGTCATTAAGAAGCAAAAGAAGAAAAAAAGAAAATGGCCAAAACCACAAAACTACTCAAGTTGATAGGCAGAATATCCACAAATGTAGTCATAAAAAAAACCTAACTTCGGTGGTAAACTACAACAACTCAATCCATTTAAGGTCTGTGTCCTGATCACGAGATAAATATGTTGCCTTAAACCTGCTGTTTTGCCCCCTTTGTCAGACTCATAGTCCAGATCTTTTCCATGTTCTTTGTTTCCAGTCTGCGGTGGTACCAGCACCCCACGGAAGATGAGTTGAGGAGCTTAGCTGGGAAACAAAAAGCCCAGAAGAGGAAAAAGAGGTATGTTGAGAGAGGAGAAAGNNTGAAATGAATGGGTATTATTTGAGGTGTGTGGGGGGGATGTGGTTGCATAGCACCGGTAGGAAGAAGTCCCCCTTTCATCAGAGAGGAAAGCAGAGATGAGACGTTTGACAGAGGATGGAGACCACAGGCGCGTCAGCAAAGAGATGGCGCCCGGTGTTGGTGTCACTCATTTACAGCATGTTTGAAGTCAGGAGACGAGAGTGTAGTTTTTGTTGTTTTGCTGCTCTTCAGCACTTCATCTGGGCTCAGAGATACTTGGCTCAGAGGTGGTCCTGTTTAGTGGATGTGAGGAAAGACAGGCCATTACTTTTGAGGCGTTTTAAGCAGTTGCAGTTTAGAATAATTGTGTTCCCCACAAACTCAAATCAAGTTTCCATTCTTGAAAAAGCTCTCGCTAGAAGATCTCTTTGCAGTCAGAAGTTGAAGCACATGTCAGATATGTGAATTAAACCCAATTTCCTTTGTGCTCAACTGAAGACTAATCCTTACAGTTCCACAGCTCCTACATTAAGGCTGTTTTTGTAGCACAGTCTTTTCTCTGTCCCTGCATGAGGCAGGTCAGTGCTCTCTGGCACCACATGTTCTGTAATCCTTGGAAGAAAAAGATGGGCCACTGTCCTTTTTTGCCAGCTTGTGCCATGCTGCTCCATTCTCATCCGATCTGACTCCCTTAGCGAGCGGTGCCTGAGCTGCTGTGCTCCTCTTTCTGCCTGTCAGGTGCCTTAGACATGAAATCTGTCCAGGACATGTTTGGTCCAAAAAGTCTTTGGGGGCTATTGTCCACTGAGTCCTGCACACACACAAGAGTGAACAAACAAAGCCCAGAGCAGAAAAGGTCCACCTTACACTTCTTCAGACCTGGAGGAGTGGGAGGGTACAGCACTCTGTTCGCCTGCTGTTAGCGATTTAACTCTGTCCACATAAGTCCACAAGTATTAGTTGCAACAATGATAGAAAGAGCAATGCCAGTGACTGAATATAAAACGTGGAGAGTCACAATTTCAACTTTTTTAAAAAAACGCCTTTTAGCTACATAGGTGTATTTCTTTATTGCTAAATCTAAGAATGTTTCATTATTTATCATTTTGTACGTAGGTCACAATGAAATCTAAAATGGTGTTTTTGTTTCTTGTCCCCTTTAATATAGGAAGCACAATGGCTACATTGAAAAAAGCCTCTCACTGTTCCCAAGGACATAGACCTGCAGCTGGAGATGAAATGTATCACAGAAGTCAACACATTAGGTAGAACTCTAACAGAACTCATGATTTAAAAAAAAAAAGTCCCATCTCCCTAAACTTTTACCCACTGTTCTGTATATATTTTATGAATTTCATTTTTCCCATGTGCCTCGCAGCATTGCACTACTTCCCAGAGTTCCAGTGGCTGGTAGATTTCACAGTGGCAGCAACTGTGGTGTATCTGATAACAGAACTCTACTACAGTGTGGCTCAGCCCTCGGGAGAGATGAACATCAGTGTGGTCTGGTGCCTGCTTGTACTCGCCTTTGTCATGTATCCTTACATCAGCTCCACTTTACATCTTGGTTAGATGTTTTCTTTCATTTTGTCCTCATCAGAATGTCAGATCCACCAAGCAGCAATGTGTATAAAAAAAGGTATATAAGGAACATTTGCTGTACACGGATGAGCTGGTGAAAAACTTGATTTTATGAAATCTTTGAAATTGAAATTATTTTCACTCTACCTCCTTCCCACACTTCATGTATACATCTTCATCTCTTAGTCTATAGGAGAAACCACACCATTGCAGCTTGATTGTATTGCTGCTGCAGTTGGAGGCAAGCGGCAATAAAATGAAAGCTAAAGCTCCAACTAGAGTGACTGCCACTGCCTCTGAGCTCCACAGCTACATGTTATTTTGCTCCACTGAATGACCCATCCATCCATCCATCCATCCATTCATTCATTCATTCATTCATTCATTCATTCATTCATTCATTCATTTTCATTCGCTTATCCATTACTGGGTCGCGGGGGCAGCAGTCTCCATGACCGCCACCCAGATCGCACTGCACCGTACCAACCCCCCTGAACCTTCCTGCGAGTGGTGAGTCCACTGGAAGGTACCAACCGCTTTAACCGGGATTCAATCCCACCCAGGAGGTGAACCCTTGGGCTCCACACCAATGACAGAGACATTGCCTCTGGGCCAAAGCACCACCCACTGAATGACTGTTAAATAATATGCATTATCCTTGGCACCAATTGCAGGGATCAATCTTTCCAGTTCTCTTGCTCAGGCCCAGCTCACTGTGGTCAGATGGTGTGTCATTTCCTGCCTACGTTATAGTTTGGGGCCCCAATTTTTACAGCCCAACAGACTGATATGCTCGAGGGCAGAAGAGGACAGACTTAGGAACAGATGATATGGAACCATAAAGATGAGGGAATACAGTATATTGGCTCAATATATGTGTTAATGGGCCACTTGATTTCAGTTTTCCCCATTTCTGCTCTGATAACATGTTTAAGACTCTTGCCCTGGAGACCAGCCCCGCTGTTCACACATAAAACCAGTATGCGATGCTCGAACATTTGCATCAAATGATACCTCATGTTTTCACAGTTTTACGTTTGGCCTCTGTTTACAGGCCAGGTCGGCAGATGGTGTTAATACAGCCATCTTCACTGCACTGAACAAGGGTTTGAGAAGACCAGCGAGATAAAGTGCCATCCTAAAAATGAATTAAAAGGGCGTAGAAAAAAAAATTGCAGGCTGGCTCCTGAAATATACTGCAGGAACTGCGAGTTTCCTCCTCCGTGGTGAGGAGAGCTCTCTAAAGAAAATGTTCTGCTCTGATCTTTCGGATCAGTGACAACAAGGGCCGAGTAAAGCACAGCCCTGGATGACATGCACACAGTGATGCTAAAGTCCTGGTTTATGAGAAAATTAAAAACCGAAGCAAGGTTTGAATCTTCAGTATTTTTTGTCCAGGTTGTTCACAGGCATGTATTTCATTTTTTCCTTGAGTCTGTAAAAGCCAACCAGCCAAGGCATTTTGTTTCCTTTGCTTGAAATGCCATTGTACTTGTGGAGATGTTTTCCCTTGACTCCGTCCTCACAGCAAGACGCTTTTCTCTTTAACGACCCACTACTTTAAGCTGGAGGAAGGAGGCGAGCGCTCGCTCTGCATTACATTTGCTTTTTTCTTTTTTGTGAAAGCCTTGGCCATCCTCATCATCACTGAGAACTACCTTGAGTTTGGTCTGGAGACTGGTGAGTGCTTCTCTATACTCTTCTTACAAATCATCATGTTGGGTAAAATTTTCTATTGTTTTTAGCCTCCACTGAGTGAATCACTGTTTAAACTTTCATCATTCCTAGGTTTTGCAAACTTCTCAGACAGCGCTCTACAGTTTCTGGAAACACAGGGTTTGGAGTCCCAGTGAGTAGATTATCAGTATTCTTACAGTTTCTTTTTTGTATTCTCTGGCTTCATACTTCACGAAACTACAGTAGTATAACTCTGTTTTCTCCTTTGCAGGGGTCCAATCTCTAAACTCACATTCAAGCTGATTCTAGCATTGCTCTGTTCTCTAATGGGAGCCTTTCTAACCTTCCCTGGTCTAAGATTGGCCCAGATGCACCTGGATGCACTTAATCTGACCACAGCCAAATTTACTCAGTGAGTCCACGAGAGTAATTAGTTATTTTTTTGCCATTCCATGATAAAACAGTCAATGAAATGTTTTCCATGGTCTTTCCGGTCCCAGCTTATTTGATATGATATACTCAAGTTCTCCTCAAAACCTATATAAATACCTGCCTGTTCTATTTTTGTCCTCTGAATCCAAATACGGTTCCACATCGTACTTGTCTCCTACTATTCAGACAGCTTTAGATGCAAGAGAGCACCCTGGAAGTCAGATGAAGGCTTCATCTTTTGGGATAGATTTCTGTTTTTCAGAACTCTCTGGGTGGCAAGTCTTCAATCCTAATAGGGAGCAGGGAGCACATCACATCCTGATAATCAATTTTGACATAGGCAAAGTCTCTCTCCTCTTCTCTTCTGGCCTCCTCTTTTTCCCATCACTCCCCATCAGAGTTGTCAGGATTCTCACTTGCAGGAATTTTTACCCAGTCATATGAAATTTGCGCTGCTGTCATGTTCTGACTCCTCAGGGACAGTCTTCCTGACTACGTGGAACTAAAATTAACCAGTTTGCAATGCTATATTTGTTTATCAATAATTGCATTAAGAAAATTGTGTTCTTGTTTCCTAATCACCTGAAGGTTGTCCCTCAATCCCTTCTTTTTTACAGAGCTCTGCTTCATATTAACTTCCTCTCCCCTCTAATTATGGTCCTGCTGTGGGTCAAGCCCATCACCAAGGACTATATAATGAACCCCACTCTGGGAAAGGAGAGTGTGCCTTTGTGAGTATAAAATTGTACAGTAATAATGATAATTATTACCTAGATGTTTGTTTAACACAACCAGAACAATGTGTTATGTCTAAATTGGTTCAAATTATAGGAGAAAATAAAATACTAATCGTATTATTTGACAAATTTAGGACATTTTCCAACATTTGGGAACCTTGTGCAGTCTCTTCCTATCGAACTTAACATTTCACATTATTATATATCTAAAGAGGGGATTCACACCATTTCCTGTGCTATTTGTGTCTATTCCACTCCGAGTTCAGCCGATGTGATCCTTACTTCACTCCTTATTCACTTTTATTGATCAACTCTTTCATCAACACATTCTCAACCTTTGCTACCAACCTTCACCAAACACTCATAACACTTAAAGACTTATACACTAAGTCCTACAAAACACCTGTTCTTATTAAAAGGAGAAATAATTAAAAATCAGTACATTTTTCCCAGTGTCGAATGAATAAATAAATAAAATCTAAGTGTAATTAATTGGTCTTGCTTCCACAACCTTGCCCCCTGCCTGGCAACCGCTCTGCTGCCCCAAGAGGGGCCTGCCACCCCACCTTGGGAACCATTGTATTAATCCAGGACAAAACTGGATCTATAGATTGTGAAGAACAATCTTCATACTCTAATCTTTGTGTCTCTGCTTGTCATAATAAAAGAAATTGCTGCATCAGCCCAGAGCCCTCAGCCCACGTGCAGCCCTCCCAGCTTTTCTCATCTCATCTTCAGTCACATCTGGTTGACTGTAGCTCAGTAGGTACAGTAATGCAGTTGTACTACAACTGGAGGCTTATGGGTTCAATTCCAGACTTAGTAATTTATATGTCTTCCCCTTGGCAGCAAAGCTGTCTGTAGGCAGATGGCAAACTAGAGCTGCTTTTGGGACAAGTGAAAAAGCACAGCTTCATCCATCTCCCTGCTACACAAAATCTCTCTGCAGAGAAACCAGCGGTCCCGTTTCCAGCTGAAAAGTGTGTGGAAGCACTGGAAATGCTGAAGGCGGAGTTCGGTGTGCGATTCCGTGAACTACATGTTTATGCAAAAGAAATCCGTCTTTTCCAGAACCCCTTTGTTGCCGACATTGAGGAAGCCCAGCCTTCTTATCAGTTTGAGTTGGCCGAGTTACAGAACTGTGATGTTCTGAAAGACGCGTTCAAGTCCAACAGTCTCATTGACTTCTATGCCGCCCTCCCAAACGACACGTACCCTAACATCAGAAAACACGCAATGAAGATGTCCACACTTTTTGACAGCACGTATATCTGCGAGCAAACATTTTCAGGCATGAAACTGCTGAAAAATTCAATGAGATCAAGATTGACAGATGAACATCTGCATCAGTGTTTGAGACTGGCAGTGACTAGAATGGAACCTGACATTCAACTTCTCATCAGCCAGATGCAGGCCCACAGTTCACACTGATGAACATACAAAGGTAAGCTCACTTTTCTGACTTGAATGAGTCATTCTGAGTATAAACAAATATAATCATAATAAAATCTACTGGGATAAAATCCATCTCCACAACCATACTGGCAGTGGTACTGGTTGTGCTGTGCAGATGCTGTATCACTTAGTTCAGTTTCTCAGCCTGCTTGCTTTGTGGTTTTCACAGGGAAGTTGATGAGAGAGAGAGAGAGCTGCAAACAGCGACGTCTACAAGCCTGCTGGAACCTACAAAAGGATTATAAGGAAGGAACACAAGAACTTTGAGAGATTTATTTCATAAATATTATTATTTATTTCCTGGCTTTTTTCTGTGAAGAACCCAGAGAGGGTTATTTGATTATTATTTATTTCATTAATAGTGTTATTATTTATTTCCTGACTTTTGTTCTGTGAAGAATCCAGAAACGGTTATTTGATTGTGCTTTCTGGAAAACAATAAATGTTTACGTTTAGGCACTCCTGCAATCGTCACATTTTTTCTGTTACAAACTGACCCCGGCCCCCCATCAGAGAAGGGAAAAGTTATGTGGCCCTCACAGAAAAAAGTTTGGGGACCCCTGCTGTTGACTATTTTGAATGACATGCTTGATTGTTCGATGATAACGCTTCAGAAGCTTGGCAATTTTAAGAGTGCTGCATCCCTCTGCAAGATATCTCACTATTTTTGACTTTTCTGAGCCTGTCAAGTCCCTCTTCTGACCCATTTTGCCAAAGGAAAGGAAGTTGCCTAATAATTATGCACACCTGATATAGGGTGTTGATGTCATTAGACCACACCCCTTCTCATTACAGATCATCACCTGATATGCTTAATTGGTATTGGGCTTTCGAGCCTATACAGCTTGGAGTAAGACAACGTGCATAAAGAGGATGATGTGGTCAAAATACTCATTTGCCTAATAATTCTGCACTCCCTGTATAGGAAGTTACAGCCCTCAGTTTGTAAAATAAGTTGTGACGTTCCTGTTAAAAAAATAACATGAATAATAAACAACGAAGTCTGATGTCACATCTCACATTATAACTCTTTTCATCCTTTACTCTTATTTCTGTCTCATTGTCTCCACCCACCATCCAAGTGATGGAGCACAGATGTGATGTGACGAGTTAGTGGTCCAGTACAGCCCTCATCCCTTTATAGTCCTCTTCTTTTTTTTTTTTTCTTTTGTTCTTGTCGTTGTATTAACACCAGGATGAGTGAGCAGACATATGACACGCTGCGTTTATGGGCCATCATTCTCATGTGTGTTCTGCGGCTCGCTTTGATGAGACATCATTTGCAAGCCTACCTCAACTTGGCCCAGAAGGGCGTAGACCAGATGAAGAAGGAGGCAGGACGGATAAGTACTGTCGACCTGCAGAAGATGGTAAGGAAAATCAATTAAAGGCTCTTGGTATGGACACGGAATATGCTTGATATATTCACAATTACTATTGTATTAAAAGAAGATGAGTCTAAGTAACTGGGGTCGGCCGTCGAGAATGGAGGACAGTGAAAGAAAGTGTGCAGGCAGGTGATGTCAGACAGAAGAATAGCAGCAGGGTTAAAAGGTAAGGTTTGCAAGACAGTAGCGAGACCTGCTATGATGTATGGTTCAGAGACAGTGGCTCTGTCTGACAAAAAAGGCTGAGCTGGAGGTGGTAAAGATGAAGATGCTGAGATCTTCAAAAGCAGTGACCAGGAGGAACAGGATTACAAATGAACAGGTCAGAGGAACAACTAAGGTGGAGCAGTAGGAGTAGTTGTGTTGGACCAGGGATATTGGAGATGGAACTTCCAGGCAAGATAGGAATAGGAAGGCTCCAGATAATACTTGTGGATGTTAGGGGTTGAGGCAGGAAGTGGAGATTTGTGAACAACAGTATGGTTTCATGCCTAGGAAGAGTACCACAGATGCAATATTTGCCTTGAGGATGCTGATGGAGAAGTACAGAGAAGGTCAGAAGGAGCTACATTGTGTATTTGTAGATTTAGAAAAGGCATATGACAAAGTGCCAAGGGAGGAATTGTGGTTTTGTATGAGGAAGTCAGGAGTGGCAGAGAAGTATGTTAGTTTGGTGCAGGACATGTATGAGAATAGTACAACAGTAGTGAGGTGTGCTGTTGGGAGGACAGAAGACTTCAAGGTGGAGGTGGGACTACATCAAGGATCGGCCCTGAGCCCCTTCTTGTTTGCTGTGGTGATGGACAGATTGACAGATGAGGTCAGACAGGAGTCCCCATGGACTATGATGTTTGCAGATGACATTGTGATCTGTAGTGAGAGTAGGCAGCAGCTAGAAGAGAACCTAGAGAGGTGGAGGTTTGCACTAGAAAGAAGAGGAATGAAGGTCAGTCGCAGCAAGACAGAGTACATGTGTGTAAACGAAAGGCAGAACAGTGAAATAGTGAGGCTACAAGGAGCAGAGGTGGTGAAGGTGCAGGAGTTTAGGTACTTAGGATCAACTGTTCAGAGCAGCGGAGACTGTGGAAGAGAGGTGAAGAATAGAGTACAGGCAGGATGGAACAGCTGGAGAAAAGTGTCAGGAGTGATCGGTGGCAGAAGAGTGTCAGCTAAGGTGAAGGGAAAGGTTTACAGGACAGTGGTGAGACCAGCCATGATGTATGGTTTAGAGACAGTAGCAATAGGCAGAAGACAGGAGGAGGAGCTGGAGGTGGCAGAGTTAAAGATGCTAAGATTCTCTTTAGGAGTGACAAGAATGGACAGGGTCAGGAATGAGGTCATTAGAGGGACAACACAGACAGGAAGGTTTGGAGAAAAAGCTAGAGAAGCCAGATTGAGATGGTTTGGACATGTGCAGAGGAGGGACAGTGGATACATTGGTAGAAGAATGTTAGAGATGGAGCTACCAGGTAGGAGAAAGAGAGGAAGGCCAAAGAGGAGATATATGGATGCAGTGAGGGAGGACATGCAGGTAGTTGGAGTCAGAGTAGAAGATACAGAGAACAGGGAGAGATGGAAATCAATGATTTGCTGTGGCAACCCCTGAAAAAGGGACAAAGCCGAAAGAAAAAGAAGAACTAGTGTGTTCAGCTGTTTTTGTGTTCGACTGAATCTTTTCATTTCCACCTTTAGTTTTAAAGCAACACTAATCAGTGCAAATAACTCATGAACAAATACTACTTTGAGACTGACCAAAGCTCTTCAGGCAGCTGTGTTATGACTACAGATTAAATGCTTCTTGTAGAACTTCAGACAGTCTCGGGTGTCATCGACCAGGTTATTTATCCATTGAATTTAACCTACATTTTCAAACGGAACAATATGTTTTTAGAGAAAACTGAAGAATAATAGCCTTAAAAATACTCACTTTTTATATTTAAAATATAAGCAACCTCTGTGTCATAACGAACAAAGTGATGCCGTTGTTATTTTATTTCTTTTTTTTTATGCTAGTCTGACTGTTTTTCTGCAGCCTACATGCTGTGCACATTTTTTGTCTAACATAATGTGGAACTAGTCAAAGTGAAGGCTGTTAGTTTTTAGTAATTTTAATTTAAAAGATTTACCATCG